AGAAGTCAAAAGGAAACTTTTTTCAAGATCTGGTCAAAATTGACAAATTACGTAAAATATGTACTCCCTGTGCTTTAAGTTTGCCTGCCACATGAACACACTGTTATAACTTGTGTTCCAGTATTGTTTCAGACAAATAATTCTGCCATAACTGTGCCATCCCAGAAAGTTAGAAGAATTAGACCTTCCCCTCACCTACTTACATGTTCTCATTATTGTAAAAAACTAAACCTTTGGAGTAGCATATGTTGATTTTCTTATTCACAGTATGGAATGTGATTAAGAATGTGATGGATACTGAAACATGGACGGATTACTTTGTCTGTAAAACGTGCTTCTCCAATAAAATAAAAAAATGTTTACTTTAAGACCTGTTTTTTTTTCCGTACACCTACTGTCAGCTTTATGTCCATTATCTCTTCACCAGAATTATATACTTAATGAGAAAAACATTAACAAGTTTGATACTTATCCACCCCACACTCTAGACTGCTGGGATTCAGATGTTGCATCAAAGTAATTTTTTTGATATTGTATAAATGCACATATTGAAATTATGGCAGCAGTTGTAATTATGTCCATTTTGAATATGTACAATAAAGAAAATAACTTCAAATGTCAGCAAAAACAAGAGGGAAAAAAATCTTTGTGGATAGACTGTTTTTAATGCTGGTGATAATTGAATGCACCATTTTCACTCCTCATACATAACAGTCCACAAACATCCAGCATTACAGCAAAGATGCTATGATCCTACATCAGCAAAGTTACTCTGGAGAGCAGAGAAATGAAAGCTAAGGAAGAATGCACAGAGCATCAGGAAAAGTGGGAAGGGATATTAAAGGCCATAATGTAACCCTTCCTGTAGTAACCACCGACCTGGGACTTCAGATCAATAGATCACAAGAGGCACATGCCATTGATGGTTCTATCTACCTTGGGAGTGAGTGCTGCACAGTCTTGCTGACTGGCCATCTTGCTTCTATACATCCCACAGCTTGTCTTTTTTACATTATCAATGCCCCAACAGTGGAGACAGGAGAGCCCACACAGCTGCATGCCCCTGCACTTTTCTCTCCACTTCCTGTCCTACCCTCCATCTTATTCTCTAACTTCTCTCACTCACCTCCACTGGTTCAGAACTGCAGGAAGGGCAGAGCTCAAACACATCTGTGTCTTGGATAAATAAAAGACAAGACAGGTTTTCAACATAAAGCTAATTCTAAACTAATCACCATTTTGATTTTGTTCATTCCACTTGGGAAAAATTACATCATGTTAATAGTGATCATGCACTACTATGAAAGTTACATCTCCAGAAAATGAGAATCAATAGTTCTCTCAAAAAGAGAACTATTGATCAATACAGCTGTGGGATAAAAACCTTATACAGACCTGTCCATCATGCCTGCATCTACATTGTCTTTTCTAGATGCGGATCAACACAAGAAAAAAGTATTTCGCCCTAAGACCTGCTTTGCTCAGCAAGCCTGTACTTGCAGGAAGTGCACAATGATACGTTCATCTAAAATGTAAATATTTTTGTAAAGAATTGGACAGGCTACCTGCCACTACAGAGAATGTTTGGGGTAGTTAAAGGTTTTTTCTGTCCTTAAATATTGCTTATATCATTTCATTTTAATTTTTGGTGAGAGGTTCAGGTTAAATAAAAGTTAATATTAAATTAAAATAAACCAACTAAATATACTAAACAGTTTTAAAATGCTGATTTAATTATTATGGTAAAAAGCTGTCCAAACTAACAGTATCTTTTAGTTGAGTTTTACTAGACTCCAGAGAACCATGATTACAGCCACAACTTGAATTTAACAAAAGATTTAAATTAAAAACTTTCTGGCAACACGAAGTAGGACCTTTAAAAAGAAATGCATTATGCCCAAATCTGAACACATTCAGGAGCAGATGAGTAACGAGGTCTCTAACATCTATTACAAATGGTTAAAAAGCCCTTTAAACAGCTTCAGAAACTTAAGAAGCATGGAGCGGTTTCAAACATTGTAGTTGTAAACTTTGTTTAAAGTCAATAATTTAAAAATGCAAACACTGAAATTTCAAAATTCCCTCTAAAAAGTAAAACAACTGATGATACTGTCATTTTTAGCAGTAGCGTTTTTTCAACGAGAGATGATTTCAGCATCACTGAGTTCCTGCAGCTACGATGCAACTGCAAACTGGCAGTTTTTTTGTTGTTTTTTTTGCATCGGGGCGGGGATAAAGTGAAGGCTACTTCAAAGTCCCTCTGCTTTTCCGGTACTCTTCATCTAAACTAATGGAGACTCTTATTCAAGTGCTGCTGCTCAACCACAAATAAGGGTAATCGTGTTATTATCTTTTGGCAGTTTGAAACGACAAGTAATTCAGTAAGTTTAATTTGAAATGAAGCTAATCAAGGACCTATATTTTAACAACTCCAGAGCTTCAGACCTTCACTGATGTGGCTCCAGAGCTTCATCAGTGAAGGTCTGAAGGGAATTTTGAATTATCAGTGTTTGAAATTTCAGCATTTTCATTTTAAATGTTTGACTTCTCAGTGTTTGAATTTTCAATGCCAACTCCCACAATCCATATCAATGCAAGCGAAAACCATCATCCACAAATTGAGGGGAAAAAAATTATAGGAGTGACAACCCAACCAAAATTACTCCAGAAGCACATCAACAACTCATCCAGGAGGTTGTAATACAATCTCAAATACATATCAAACCTTAGTTCTCTCAGTCATGCTTTTTGTTCTGGAGGTAAAAAAAAACAAGAATATCTCAAACTTACTAAATAACCCCTTGAAGAATGCATTCTGGGGACTAAGAAGACAAAAGTGTATTTTTGTTAGTGTGTGTGTCATATCCCAAATTTACTGTAATTGAATCCTACAGTAATATTTATCACAAGGAAAGGCTTGGACTAGATAAATGTTACCTAACTAGTTAGGTACATTTCATTTACCGGCAACCCGGTGGACCTTAAAGCTGAAGTCTGTAAGTTTTTAAAAATCACTTTTTTGTCATATTGGCTAAAACTGTCCCTATGCCCAGACAGCAGTACATGCGATATGTAACCTGTTAAAAAACTGCTTCAATTGGTCCTGCATACTGCCTGTATTTCAATCTGGAAAGAATAATTCGGGACGAGTCAAAACAACCGATCACAGCCAGAGGAGCGTCTGACGGAGTGTCAATCACAGAAAAAATATAATACATTACAACCTGCCTTTTCTCAAGAATATCTTTATTACTGCTGTTCAAAAAAGACCTATATTTCCGAGAATAAAAAAACAACAACTTTGAGTCACCCACATTTATATATTATGAAACTAGAGGGTGTTAGCTTTCAAAAAATGTATTGCACATGTAATTTAGGCTTACAGTTCCTAAGTTATTTGCTTTTCCATTTGGATATGCAAAATAGACGAGGATTACCCAAAATGAGGTGGATGTTAAGAGGTTAAGGCTCTCTACACATATGGGATATTCCGTGACACTTTTTATTTAAGGCGTCATCAAAAGTTGATGAGGTGGTAAACTCATTATTTCACTACAGCCTCGTTGTTTCATTGCTAATGCAACAGAAATTGTCTGCTGTTGCTAAGATAAAACATTTACTTGTTCTTTTGGAAGCACTCACTATGTATCAAACACTATATAGATCAGGGACTACAGTATATAGTGAGCTCAGTTAACTGACTGTTCGGACAGATGATCACTACTTTTCGCTCCCCGTTGGACACGTTCCTCCGCCTCCCCGAAAGGAGCCTGCGCCATCTTTGTTATTAGTCGCCACCGTCAGGTAGCAACAGCCTATGGTGACAGCAAATCCCATAATGCTATGTGCAGAGAATCCTCAACGCAAAGCATTCTGGGATATATCTGCTCATCTAAGTGGTGACTATGGATGATCACTACTTTTCAAGGTGCATTGTGGGAAATATCAAGTCCACTACTTTTTCATCCACTAGCCGTTCAGACCTGTATCTAAAATGGCGTAATCGCTAAATAGTGCCCTATGTAGTAATTAAGGCGAACATTCAGAAACAGCCAATGAGGTAGGCAATAATGTGAAGGATTGTGCCTAAGTTGAAAGATTTCGATAGTATTCACTTTTCATGTATCGCAAGTAATAACTTTTTTGGGACATTTATTACCATTATCACAGAGAGATGGTGAAAATTTGTGAAAATTTTGTTTTTCACCAATTCAGGATGGGACGGACCTGCTGCAATTGATGGAACAATTAATTCTGCTCTAAGCCAGAAGAATTGTCAAAGAAAATGTCAACACCTCAGCTCATGGTCTTATGCCCTGGCAGACTTAGGCTATGCAGTGAGACAATGAACCAAAAAAAACCCCAGCAGAATGAAGCCATAATAAGATAGGAATAAACTTCATCCCTAAACATAATAAAGGCATGAATTTTAACAGACTATTTATTTTCAAATAGTCAAGTAGCTGAATTCAAACAATCCCTTGAAGAAAGGTGGACACATATATCTCTACAGCGATTTAAATGACTCATTGTCAGTTACCCGAAGCAGTTGATAGTGCTTGTTGCCACTAAGGGTGGTACAACAAGTTATAATAAATATAAGGGTGGAAATTAAAGCATAAAAATTTTTTTTTTTGATATTTACTTAATATCTTGTGAGCAGATTAAAATGTGTTTGATGGTCTGAAACTTTAAAGAGCGAGGAGAAGAATAGTAAGAACCTGTGAGGGGTTAAACACTTCTCTAGTGCACTTTAAAAGTTTTAAAATGGATCAAGGTCATTTTTCTACATATGCCTTCCACAAATCCCCAGTACAAACTCAAATCTTAATAAAAAACATAATGACATCTGAAATATTCATAACATCACAAAGATTTTTTGTCCAATAAAGATTTAGCAGAGGTGGCAGTGATATGTGTCCTTTGAAAGGGTTCTGCAGAAGAGCTTAATTATCTGTAAAGGACGTCTAAGTATTACGAAGGGTTATGCAATGACTTACTTTCTGGTTTAGATAATATGGATCCAAGTCCTCCAGGGGCGTAGCCACCATTCCATTAGGAATATCGCCATAGATGAAGGGCAGGCTCTTCCCTGCTTCCAGATCGCTGTTGGGCTTCGTCTCATTTTCATCAGATGTGTCGCGATGACTACTGTCTGATCTGGGCTTAGGAGGCTTCTTATTTTTCTCTTCTTTGATGCGCTTCTCGATGTTAGCGAGAGACTCAGGGGTGAATTTCTTGAAGCTGTCAGGTCCTGGGGGTGCAAGAAGGGGCGCAGCCATGTTTTCATCCTGCAGCTATTTCCCTTTTATTTGTTTTCCATTCCCAACATCCAGCTCTGGGAGAAGAGAGACAAAGTGATTAGAGTGTGGAAAATGGGAAAAAAAAAAAAAGGTACAGAACCATTTGATTTTCTTAAACCATCAATCAACCAATTTATTAATGAAAGAAACTAAGACCTAAGTCCTTTTTTTCATGTAATTTAATGCACATCTGTTTATTTGTTATTTAAAAACTACATAGAGGTAAAAACAAATGCTTTAAAGCATCTGTCAGGGTAATTTTCTAATTGCTTTATATCTTTATTCCTTTAATAACTTTTAACTCTCTAAAACAAGCAGCAAACATTTTCTACTATGTATGAAAGCATAAAATCTGAACCTGTGTGTCAGAATTCTGAGAAAGGCAAAAGAAAGGCTAATGTGAGCTTTTCTTTTAAGCATTAAACCTGTTTCAGAACCCGTCTTCAATATAAAAACATATGATTACTGGCAAGAAAATAAAGTTCCAACAATCATTGGCCAACAAATATTTCACCTTTTGTCTTCTACAACCATAACATTGAGCACCTTTTAATGTCTCTACCTTGATATACTGTATTTTTGCAAGCTAGAACGATCACCAAAACAATAATTTTTTTACACCCATATACGTATTTGTTGATTTCAGATCTGTCTTTTTTTTAGCAAGGTTTCAGGTTATCTTTGCCAGCTGTCAAAGGGAAGGTTGGGGCATAGGACACACAACAGAACAGACTAATATCTAACGTCCAATATCTGCTTGTTGGGACAGGGGGATATAGTCTGGAAGAAAATGCGAACTTCCCACAGGAAAACCCTAACTGGATTCCTTATCGGGATCAGCTTGATGACGTTGCTAAAAATCACACTACAGTTCTCTAACAACTGGCACAGAAAAATCATGAATTGTAATTTAAAGGACAGGTGGAAATCCAACTTATTTTTTATCCAACTATGGAAAGAAGATATCAAATTTGATCTATTTATCAGTTTTTAAAGATCCAGTCAAGAGAGTGCCATACAGTGCTGAGAGCATTTGAAAATAAAACTAAAACATAAAGTGCAAAAATATTTCATATAACGCACGCAAACACATATATATGCTAAATTTTATAGGTTAAGAAACTAAAACCAGAACAACTTGCTCTTGTGTTTTCATCAAACATATATTTCACTCACCAGTTTGTGATCTCGTCCTGTTTGATGCTCGGGGGCAGGTTGCAAGTATAAAAAGGTCTAAAACACAACCAAAGTATTTAAAAAATGTTAAAAAGCAGTCAGTGGAACTTCATAAACTAAAAAGCCCCTGACAATCCAATATCATTAAAGATAGAAGGGAGAAGAAGTCCACTTTAAGGAGTGAGTTGACACAGCCCCCAAAAAGCTTTTTTTTAGACCAAAGTGGGCAAAAATACCACCGGAATTGCATGTAGTCTCCTTTTGAAGTCTTAAAGATGATTTGGGTTTATAGCTGTACAGAAACACCTGTAAAAAATCTAAACATCCTATAAGTTTTAAATAATTAAAAGGCAGCTGATGCAACCTTTACAGCACAGGTCAAAACCAATATTTCAGCAAATTGCATGCTGAACGGATTTAAAGTTATGATGAGAAACATATCTATTAAAAAAAAAAAAAAAAAAAGTGGCGTTAACTGCTTCCTAAGCAATAAGAGAAGCCGTTTCGCCGGTCTGTTCAGCAGCTTGAAAATGAAAGTGAGGCTGTGTCCTCTGAGGCGGTAGAAGCATCCAACAAAGGGCGCCACACATCCTGAAGCAGCTAACTCCCTTTGCTCTCCTCTGTGCACTTGGATGATCAACTGATGGAGTTGGATCTTACTGGACGCAACAGTCAGGTGGCCAAACTAGGTGGTCTGAACAATGGCATCCATCTGAATCAAATGGGTCGCTTCTGAAGTTCAATCTCTGTCTTTCCTTCTCCTATAGTATGCTAAAGGTGTCTGTTCCAGGATCGGTCAGATTAGTATTAATAAACAGCTGGGAGCTAAACAGGTCCATATCTGAAATCCAGAGCTTGCCCAAGGTTATGCAAGGCCCTCAGCAGAATATCATTTGGAGGCAGCTCCTTCATGTTTAAAGGGGCCATGCTTGTTTATTTGTTTCTATTTTTTTCTTTCACTTTATTTTTGCAACACACGTTTTAATCTGAAATCAGTGAGCTTATAATGCACAAATGTTTTTTCATTCTAATAATCTTTTCTGAGATCAGAAGAGAATAAAGTGAAAACGATTAGGGAGCAGGTCTGCTGTCGTCATGCTTTTAACTCATTTTAATCTATAATTTACAGTTTATAGTTTACAGTTTGATAATTGAGCAGTTATTTTGGGGGTTGTTTTTGGTCCTGACATTTTCCAGTTAAAACGCATGATTATATTCATAAAATTATTTACTGATAAATGTATTTCCATAACTCTGCTGGCATCTTGACAAAGGAGTTTTTAATAGAAAAACAAGCTTTTTTCTTTTTTTTTTTTTTTTTACATTTGGACTGCAGAACAGTATTAAGTACGAAATTTATGCTTACCTGAGTTTATTCTAATATATTTTAATTTAGCTCTGGTGAGACCATTAATAACCCCCTACAAAGACACAGGAGTTTTGATATAGGCAGTTGCCCAGGGTAGCATTAAAAGAGGAGTGCCACAAGCTTGACATCAAGACAAACAATTTCAGTTCATTTGCATGTGCAGTTGATGGGGAGTAAGCACCCCAGCTCATTTTGAGGGTTAGGGTTAAAGACCATATAATCTGCAGAGTAATTTTGCCTTTTGTATTTCCTAATCCCTATTGTTAGCTCACCTTCGCTCTTGCAGAAATGAAGAGTAACCTGTGCAATATTTTTGCTTACTTTGTCCACCTGTCATATTGGAAGAAACTAAAAATTCACAAACTGTTCCTATGGATGTCTGTATAATAAGCACAACCACAAAGAGAACAAAAAAAACATTATGATAAACAAGACATATACTAATCAAGCTGTTGCAGCTTCTTTTACGTCTCTAAAGGAATTATGCATTAGAGAAGACTTTGTTCAAGAGGGTCCCAATCAAATGAAGGATGTAAAGGAAGATTAATTAAGGTAAGAGGATGTTTGCATTCTCTAACCGTATCTATTTTTTAATGAGCAACAAACAAAGAGCTTCTGTGTGTTAAATGATGAAAGGTCACGAATCAAACCCTTCCTGTGTATGCTGTCCCCCCTAACATGGATCAATTTGCATTAACCAGTTTCATAATCTTGTTTCTTTCACATAATATTTGAGTTAAATCTCAAGAAGAGGGTCTGGTGCAAAGTTTGCTTGTCCATCAACCCATCCCAAACAAAAGAACACTTAGGAGTACTATCTTTTTATATTCTATCTGGGACAAATCAGCTTTAAATTAAACTTTCTGCTAGGATTAAAATTTGGTGTTTTAAAAAAACCCTTTTTTTACTATCATTATTTTAAGACATGGATTCAGAATACAGAAAGTAAAACTCAGCCTCTCATTTTCCTTGAACTTCCAATTCCAAATAATGAATGCCTGCTCTTTTTCACAATGTCATAACCACAGTGCTATCCCTATAGCCAGACTGAGAGCCTCACTAACCTGTTTCATTCCGGGGTGCGTCGTTGTTCTATAGGGCCAAAGCCTGAAATACTGCAGTGTGCTGCTATAGGTTCTAACTAGTAGGTCAGTGGAATCTACAATCCGGATGCTGACATCTCAAAACGCAGTAAAACCGGCAGCAGATATGAAGTTACTGCAACACAATGTTATAAAACAGGGTTTGTGTTTTTTTAAAGCCATGTTATTTACAAAAAGGGTGAAATATACCGCACCCTGTTGACAGGCAGACCTTAGTGTGTGTGCTGCTGAAGAGTGGCTGAAACAAAGAATATGTGTTTAACGTCGAGTCTGAATAAAAGGAGAAAGAAGATGCGGCGGTCCCCTCAGAGGACTGCCAAACTACAGACGCACCTTGTACCCCCCCACCCCACCGCACGCAATACAGTCTCAGGGGAATCTGCAGGGGAGGGGGATAAGGAGGGGGGTAAAACTATTACTAATAATGCTAGAAATAAATTTATAGACACTTTAGGTGTTTGCGACCCCTTTTTTTTCAAATTATTTTTTTCCACTGTGAGAAGTTTGACATGATCACATACACATGATGTTACTCATTCTGACACAGTGAGGTGTCATCCCATCCAGCTGCAGCCCCCCCCCCCCCCCCCCCCCCCCCCCCAAAAAAAAATTGAAAATAATCATTTACAATCCAAAGTGTCGCAGCATAGATTTCCTTTTTCTGAAAATAAATTAAAATAACGATCCCCCACAATTACCGCTTATGTCTAAAATGATCGCATGAACATTTGTTCATAGAGGTAAGGATACCCCCCCTCCCCTCCCTCCACAGCCGCTTACAGCGGAAAGATGCTGAGGAAGGGACCCGCTCTGCGGCACTGGGATGCAGTCAGTCGACAAAAAGTACGGCTGAGCTCCATCCCGCGGCCAAAACATGCCGGACGAAGACAGCAGATTGTTCACTTACTTTTTCTGGCATTAACAAATATCCTGATAGCTGGCACTGAACTGCAGATGTGGAGAGGAGTCGGGAGTAACTGCGGCTGTCGCCATATTGGTGCTGCTATCTTCCTTCCCAGTGCGTGCCGCTGCCCTGCATAATTGATGACTCTCAGCAAATTGTTAGGGAGTGTCTGTAAATGCCTTCACTCCCGATAACGGACAGGAGACCGCAGCATCGTAAGCACAAAAAAAAAAAAAAAACTGGTTCATTTTTTTAAAAAGACGCACATATATATTCTGCTTGGCACAACAATAAAACCTAATTTAGATTATTTATCAAATACTTTGTTTTTACCACATTAACTGATTATATTCAAAATAACCATAAACAATTTTGAACCACATATGTATTTAATTGAACTTGCGCGTAATATAACAAGTTAAGGTCATTATGATTTTTTTATTTAATCTTTATTTAACCAGGGAAAAAAATCCCATTGAGATTAAAAACCTCTTTTTTTAGGGAGTCCTGGACAAGAGGCAGCAAAGTTACATAAGAAACACAGATAAAAAGGCGGTTCAAGACAGGGGTCAACGGGGGCCAGTGCCCCTGTAGAACATGTCCTGGCCCCTCTTATTAAGACATAATACTCAAAGACATTCTAATGATTATATGCGCTGGAACAGACATGGTTACTGATAGGTCCTTTGGGCCTATTTCATTTGTTTTCTTTAAGAATTCTGTTTTACTAAGTATTTAAAAATTATAAGGTGATGGCTTCAGTGTTATTGAGATAGGATCCCAGTTTACATCTGCTAAATTTTTTTTTCAAAACAAATTAAAAAAAATTACCACTGAATTTATCCGTTTTTCTTGAGTTCTAATACTGATTTTATAGAAAATGGTAATTCTAACCTAAATTAAGTCAAAAATATGTAATATTCATAAATTATGAATAGATATTGACCTAATAAGACAGAATTTTAATTAAACCCAATTGAATAGAAATTTCACTTGATGCAGCTATGTTAATATATTGGAATCCCTTGCCCTGTTTTTTTATTTCATGCTTTTCTGTGCCCCCATGAAAACACGCTTGCCCCCTCCTGGCCCCCTGGTACATTTGGTCTAGAACCGCCACTGCATAGATACATTAAAATAAATGAAAGGTACATTAAAATAAAAAGGAAAAAAACATATCAAGTAAAACAATTACAGATCCCTAAGGCTGCTTCAAATTCTTTCACTTTCAACTTTAAAGTATTTATAGATAAAAACTCAGTCAACTTACAGTTTCTTTGTAAACAAATTCCATGCACAAGGAGCTGCGTATCTAAAGGCTTTCTTCCCTAGTTCTGTGGAACAGTGAGCAGCAGCTGATGGTTGGATCGCAGGGCATAAGAGGCCATGCTTTTCTTTGTAAATAGGTACAAATATAAGAGGGCTGTCATGATGGGTTCACTAAAAGCGACCCAAGAATGCAGAACACCACTGACGGACACAAGGATAAAAGTTTAACAGTTTATTTATGGACAAGCACACAGAATATACTGGTTCAGGTTCGGGGCCTGGGTTCTGGTTCACCGGAGTCTGCGTGAGAGACAGTTCAGTTAGTGTTGCCAACAGAGGTTTGATTTCCTGAAGTTTACTGATTGTACCTTGAGGGTTCTTGAGGTTAGCTTTGGGAGAGTCACTGTTGGTTCTGGAGAAGAGTTCATCAGCAGAGTCCGTTTGCTGCTTCAGCGTCTCACGTCTAATTTGAACAGACCTTGGCTTTGGGTTTTCGAGCTCTAGTCCAGAGCTGCTTGGAGGTTCTCTGTGAATCTTCAGGTTTGGCTCTGAGGGTCGGCTCGGCAGGTTAGCTCTTCCTGAGCTTTCACAGAGGAGGCACAGGTTTCCTGGAAAACAGATACAAGGGTTAGAATCCAAGCTGGATTCAAGAGTCATAGAATTACTCTGAGGATCTAGGCTTAAGCGCTGACCAACTGGAACAACACTGCGGCGTTGAGGCAAGGTCTGAAGACAGCTTAAGTAGTGGATCCTCTGATGATCTTGACGAGCTGCAGCTGTGCAGGAGGCTCCCTCAGAGGATCCACGGCGGACTCTGCTGGAGAAAGGTGGAATTTCTCCAGCTCCCATCCCAACAGTACCCCCCCCCTCAACGACCGCCCCTTGGCGGTCCGGAAGAGGTTGATGGGCAGGAACGCTCGTACTCCTCGATAAGGGCTGGATCGAGGATGTACGAGCCTGGAACCCACTGGCGATCCTCCGGTCCGTAGCCCTCCCAGTCGACGAGGTACTGCCAACCGCGACCTCGTCGACGGGAGTCCACGATGTGGCGAACCGTGAAGGCCGGATGACCATCGACCTCCAGGGCGGGTGATGGGGAGTCGGACGGTGGGCACAGAGGGCTCGAGGAGACAGGTTTGATCTGAGACACGTGGAAGGTAGGGTGGATTCGGAGGGACTGAGGTAGTTGAAGACGGACGGCTGAGGGGTTGATGACTCGAGTGATCCTGTAGGGTCCGATGAATCTAGGAGAGAGTTTTCGAGACATCCCCTTGAGGGGGATGTCTCGAGTGGACAGCCATACCTCCTGGCCCTCGGTGTACTCGGGGGCGGGACGTCTCCTGGCGTCGGCGAAGCGTTTTGTTGACTCAGATGACCGGTTGAGAGTGGCGATGGTTTCCCTCCAGATCTTTTGACAACGGCGGATGTGTTGGTTGACGGACTGCACCGAAATCTCTCTCTCGTCAGCGGGAAAAAGAGGTGGTTGATAGCCGAGACTGACCTGAAATGGGGATTGTCCAGTAGATGCAGATTTGAGGGAGTTATGAGCGTATTCTATCCAAGGAAGAAATTGGCTCCAGTCCACGGGGTTGTTTGACGTGAGGCAGCGAAGGGTTGATTCCAATTGCTGATTCATACGCTCAGTCTGACCATTCGATTGGGGGTGATAACCAGAGGTGAGAGAGGGTTTGCAGCCGAGAGCGGAACAGAAAGCCTTCCAGACCTGGGAGATGAACTGTGGACCTCTGTCTGAGAGGATCTCTTGGGGAATGCCGTGTAACCGGAAAACATGTTTGATGAGAAGCTGGGCTGTCTGAAAGGCTGTGGGAAGTTTTCTGAGGGGAATAAGATGGCAAGACTTCGAGAAACGGTCAACAATAGTGAATATGGTGGACATACCTCGAGAGACAGGGAGACCGGTGACGAAATCAATGGCGATATGGGACCAAGGACGCGAGGGAACAGGAAGTGGTTGAAGCAGGCCAGAAGAAGGTTGGTGTGAGGCTTTGTTACGGGCACATGTGGGGCAAGCCAACACATACTCCTTAACGTCCCTGTGGAGAGTGGGCCACCAGAAGCATCTGGAGATGAGAGCTACAGTCCTACTGACTCCTGGGTGAGCAGAGAATTTGGCGGCATGCATCCACTGGATGAGACGGGACCTGACGGAAGATGGAACATAGGTTCGGTTAGAAGGACCGTTACCAGGGGCGGATCCAGGATTTTTCAAAGGGGGGTGTGCACCTAAGGGTCATGGGGTCACGGGGTCAAGGGTCACAGGTCAAGACAATGTGAGGCTAAAAGACCAAAGAATACCATCTTCACTCTTTCACGCTACCCTAATTATTCATCCAAGGGTTTATAATTGATAATTTTAATGGATGAACATAAGTAGAATTAGCATGATTACATTATTGTAATTAAAAAAGGATCTCTCAGTTTTTAAAGCATGCACAAGGTTAAAAGGTAGTTTGAAGAAAAAAAATGATCCTTATCAACAATTAAACAAGGAGTTTCTTTATTTCCAGAGATGATATTTACACAGAACATTAAATTTAAAAAAAATTAAAAAACAAGGACTTGGGTTCAAGTATGGTTCAAGTAAGACAAAGGAGTTTTGAATATATTTTAACAAGATAAACTGTTGAAAAAAAACAAAAAAAAACAAAGTTAAACCAGACAAAGAATATTGTTCTCTACTACAAACTTTATGATGATGATAATGAGTTTACAAATGTCAACCTTCTGGGATGCTTCTGGGCAAATGTGTCTATGATTTTGTTGATGTCTAGCTGAATGTCCTTGTGCACATACATAAGTAGCAAAGCCACAAACCTTTACTGTCCCATTGTTGACCTCAGCAAAGTTATCACTGCTTTAAGACCCGAGTTAGCACGTTCCACAGAAGCACTGGTAACAGGAATGACTGACAGAAGGTGAAAAATCATATAAATGTTTGGGTAGCACTTCATATTTGTTATCTTTAGAATTTCAGGGAGAGAGCTGGGTTTTTCCACTGATAATACCACTTTGTGTGCCACAACTTCACTTCCTGCCTGAATGTTGATCCTGACGGTAGATCATCTTTATATGATGTAAAAATGATAAAAAGTCATACTTGTCCAGCCAGTCCCTCTGGCATGTTCTTTTGGTCACCCCACTGGCTCTTCGGTTGTCTTTAAATTCTCTGGCAGGGAAATTGAAAGATTTGGGTGGTTTTCTGGTCTGAAGAAGTTGGAATTTTTCAGAGTCGTCCATTTCACTTAATCCGGTCCTTGGCCTTTGATATATCTGTAATAACATTGATATTTACATTGTCAATTTTGCATGGGTGCTGGTGGAGTTGTAAATCTGCCTACATGAAGATTTTGTATAGTCTTGCTTTATTATGAAATATTTATTATAAAATGTAAGATTTCAAAATTAAGCAAAAAAGTCAATCATGTAAAACAAAATTAGTTGTTTTGACATTGAAAAAAATACAACTATTACTCACCTATGTCGTAAGTTGTTTGGGGCAAATCCGCTTGGTTGAGCGCCGGCTCTTCGGTTGTCTTTACATCGAAACACGGTCCTTGTTGTTCATCTGGAAAAGAAAATTATTTTTGTGATCAGGTGAACCTTGTAATCTCAGGAGGAGCCACAAAACAATTTAATGTTGTGTTTTTATAGTAAATTATTAAATTCACTGAACACATATCACCAGGTGCACAAAACTGAATTTACTTAAAAGTAAATTTTATTTTTATTGTAAAATATTAAATGCACAGAAAACAAATAAGACCAGATTTGTAGTTCTCATATCACAATGTTAACAAGACTCCCTTAGACACCAAGCATGTGCTTAGAGCATTCATTGATTTGGATCCTTACCAATT